CAACCCATGTTATGTGGTGACTTGTTACAGCGTGTCCGACTGTTGAGTTGCATGCCAAGCATGGTAATCGTAATCTTAGCTTTATTCACAAGATGAAATCGAGGTCTGTTGTCGTAAGGGGTGGGAGGAGAGTGATGCTTTCGAAGGCTTCTTGAAGACGTCAAAATCTCTTTATACGGTTCACGTTTCCAGGCAGTAAAAAACAGAATAATTTTAGCAGTTCACAGTTCGTCCTCATTTCATCTGCACGGACCAGCAACAGACCATTCGTTTCTGTTTTTCGTGTTCACCATACATGGTTTATTCGAAAGGTGGCAGAAGTAACCATCCAAAAAATCATACAGCTGCATTTGCAGCAGTTTTACGAAGTTTACAAGCGCACCTACCGCATCTCCAATTTTAGTTTCTATAGGGGTGTTCAAAATGCAATAATTTTATGGTCCACGCTCTACTCTAATTCTGTCATCAGCTCCCATAATGTGACCAACTGTATCGATTCGTCGACCGTCGATATTCAGCCATTGGCTTTATTGCAGTTCATTGTAATATAGCGCATGATAAAACATCCATGTTTGCATTCATTAAAAATCTTGAACAACCAGAACAAAAGCCCTCGTGACCAGTAGGGTTCACTTCTTTGTGTTTATCTTTATGCTATTCATTGGACAATAAAACAAAATGTCCATCATTCACGACGTTCATGTATCGAAGCTCTCATATGTACACCACTACACCACCATAATAATCTACTGAACTTTCATATTCATCGACTTTATCTTCACACCAACTTATAACTTTGCATTTGTCATGCGCTTCTTCACGATAGGTGAGTGAAACAGAATCACTATCTAAAAAGAGTCCGTATAAATCATTTTGTGATTACATTGGTACTGTATCAGAGAAGAAAGTAGTAGCTGTGTTTTAAAGCACTCAAATGGGCGCGTTGCTGTTCATCTCGTTCTTTACTTCTTCTTCCTATTCTACATTGGTCAACCTTCCATCCAGCCAAATAAACTCTGAAGTAGCAGCTGAAAAACACCAGAAACGGACCAGAAAGAAGCGTTATACAAAACGTGGCACGCAAACACATGCCTACAAACCACCACCACAGCAAGATCGCGGAGACATTCTGTGTAGGTCTCAGCTGTAGTTTTTGTGTCGCTATCTTTCCGAAGTTTCGAAGATGCCACAGCTGTTGATAGATATTATTTTTTTCCAGAATGGTCGTTTCTAACATTTTGATTTCGTTAGCAGCAGATGCTGCCTCACGTCAACAAACCCTGAAGTCTTACCTGACAATTAGATCTGTCATGGCCCTCTCTTCTCGTACTGAGATAAGGCTCCGACTACAGGTGAATTCAACACTCACTTCTTTTTGTTGCACAATTGAATAGGATGCCCTTTGAGAAGCACTCTAGTCCAGTTTATAGCCCCAATCCTAAGTCTGCAGCTGTGCTCGTGATTCCCCAGTTCTGATCTTCTGGCAGGGTATGCGTAAACTGATGGTTGATTTGATCTGTCATGGAGACTTCCGTGAGTCATAAACACATGTAGTGCAGACATCAACGGAATGTGGACCCACTGCTATGTAAATCTGCCCCAGTTTCGGATCAAGATGACGATATGCTGACCGGGTGCGGGACTTTTGGCTCGTCCGGCCTGGCACGCGGCGAGTTGCGCGGCGGCACGCGCGGCGATCTGGACGGACAAGGCTTCGCGGGTTCTTCGGGTAGAATTCAACACGTCAATGCGTGTGCAGATTGCGGATAAACTCCGCATGGTTCTGCTGTTTGAAAATCTTTCCGCTCGCGGGATTGGAAGCAGCAGTATCGGTGAGGAGATTTCAGCGCAAGGAGATGAGTGAGGACCTCATGTAAATGTCACTACTACCATCAAAGCAAATAAGAGTCACTAAAATTGGGAGTTTTTGTTGAGGTATTTAATGTCAACTATATATGTTTTGCTGATCGAGGCGCTCACGTCCAAAGGAGAAACATTCAAAACAAAACAACAAAACAGGGTCGATGGTAGGTGACACTAGGACTAAGCCCAGCAGAGGGGAGGAACGCCAGGGAGAACACAAATTACTTCCCCAGAATCCCTTCTCCTCCCTAAGTCTCGGTCCCAAACACAGTAATTGGCTCACTCACTTCCCCCAATGGAAGCGTCCCCCCCCCAACGACATGAGCGCCCTGATTGCCATAACAGCACTATGCTAGTTCCTTCTCGTCTTTCCTACTGTTACAACCACCGCTGTCCTCAAAATTCCAGCGATGCATCGGGATCGCCGCGCCGCTCGTCGCGCAATTTGTCGCGTGCCAACCCGGACGAGCCAAAACTCCGTCGCCCATGCCGACCAAAATTGGGAAGGCTATTCGGAGACGCTTGAAAGATCGCGATTACAACAAAGACAGTGATTAATAATGGAAGTGCAATCAGAGGCCTCCTCTCAAGGTGCCCTTATCTTTAAAAGGGACAGCGACGCCCTTCCTCCAAAGAAGTGAATCACAAGAAGTTCACCATGGGCAGTGCTTTTCACATTAGGAATTTCCCCCTTTCTCTTCTGGCTGCTCTGCTTTCTCGACGTCTTTTCTGAAACCCCTAACTATCATCTGTGCTTGTTATTTTTCGAAAAAGGAAAAATTCAAAAAATGTCCTTGCTCAGTCAAGATGCCAGGTCATCTCTCCGAAAAGCCGAAATACCTCTTAAGAATGCGCACCATTCCTTCCTCGTGTGCGTAATTTTTCGATTTCCGAAGAATGTAATTGTCATAAGAAACCGTCAGAACGCAACACCGGAATGAAACGTCATTGGGTTTCTTAATTCCAGGGCTTATAAACCCAATAAAGTATATACTACTTTCATATAGAGGATCAGTAGCCAGAATTTCTGCAAGCATGGAATGTTTTCCTTCAGCATAAGAGGTTTACCCATCCGACTGCTTCATACCCACACCCCTAAGTACGAGTTTAGCACAGGAGTCTAGCTCAACGAGAACATCTGGACCACAGAGGTTGTGAACGGCCCGATGTTTGTTATATTTGGATCGGATTGTAAATGTAAAGGAGAGTTTGCTCCAATAGAATGCTCGATCATCTATAGCCGGCTTACATGTGTACCTATACCTTATATTCATTAACATGAAACATTGCTTTGAAACAGCTGGCTTTAATGCGTATGGATATTTGTTGGATTCTTGTTAGTAGCATTACGTTTAGGAGGACTGATAATCATTCTATTGGAACCAGCCATTCCCCACTTACATAAGCAGAACTCTAGTAGGGTCGAGCACTTGTTGTGTCGTGTTCCGGACTGCAATAAATCAGTCGTTTATAACAGTGGAAGACATGATAACTGGCAATAATTGGTTTTAGTTGATAAAGATAGAGGTAGATATTGCACGGTTTCACCGTTGTGGAGCCTTTAGGGTACAAAAAATCAACCTTTTATTTACAGCCAAATAAAAAAAATGTGCAGAAATAGCACTTAGATCATAAACTCTGCCAGTCACGGCAGCAAAAGACAAAAAAGGTTTCCTAGATAAAACGGTGGTTACTTCACTTACTACCGAGTAGCAGGCAGGAGGGTGGTTAGCGGGAGTCGAGTAATGCAGGCGTCGCACGTCCTTGTCCTTGTTGAACTCCCCTCACGAAACCGTCTCTCCCCGGCATCCATGTTTTGGCGCGCTTTATTTCCCGCGCCCTCCTTCCCGCCTGCGTAGCACTGGGTATCAGGCATATGCGTAACATACACAAAAGGAAATCAATCATGAGAGTCAAATCAAAGATCATTGCAATCATGAGAATCAGATCAAAGATCATTGCATTTAGTGTATCTGTTACCATACAAAAGAAATCATTGTTAAAAGAAAACCTTCATCGAATATCAGGAGCAGACAATGCCAACTGCCTACAACTACATGGGCACTACATGCCCCCCCCCCCTCCAGAAAAGATCTGTCCCCAGATCTTCTACCTTCCAATGCTCAGGTCTTCCAAATGTTTCTGTGCGGCGCGTTCAAGTGTTCGTGCTTTTCTTTTTTCAACTCTCCTCAAGTGACGCTTCGATACCCGTCCGTCATGAGCTTTCGGCACACTTGAAAGCTCGCGCTGAACTTGTCGACGGCTGACCTGCCGACCTCTGCATCGATTTGGGTACCTTGAGTACCTCCAAGGCCGCCACATCTTTTACTTGAAACCGCAGAAAATTATAGAACCCCATCGCTTGCTCCACAGGCCACTATTTTTCAGGATCTCGAACGACGCCCACTTTCAAACAAGCCATAGATGATTTCAGCACGCCGGGTTCCGCCGGAATCATGTCGTGTATCTGGGAGACGAACGCCGGAAATGCATCCATATATCCTTGCAGATGACATCTGGCTTTTTCGTTTAATCGGTCCCAACCCCTTCCTCCAGGGACCTGGGTCCATTCACTATGCAGATCTGAGTGTCACAACTGAGCCAAAGATTCAAACATTTGCAAACTGAATCCATGAGTACGCATTGGAGGGCTCCCTGGGCGGTAAAATGAACACAACGACACCGACATCGTTAGCAAGAAAGGTTATTGTTCGTTGTGCGAATGTCCTTGAATGATTTATAATAGAAGAAGCGTAGTCCTTGTCGACAAGCAGTGTTTGAGTCTGTGGAGGACCTCCGGCACCACGACAACCACACGCGGGTGTTCATTCGCACCCTGCACGGTCGAACAAATATTAGACCACTCGAGCTGACGCGCGATACTCCATCCGTATTCAATTATTCTCGTGGTATCCCATGGCCATCCGCTCAGTAGAGAATGCCTCAACACAGCTTCCTGTGGGACCAGCCCTGCCATTATGGAGACGTGTAAACAGCGGTAACGGAAAAATGCATAAGCGTATCCGACGGCCTTTGGGCTAATAGCCAGGAACGACTTGTCGACGATCCTCTGTACCTTGAGACTTATGGAGCCAGTGCCCCACCATATTGCAAAAACCCGCGCTGCGTCCAGCACGCATGCCACTCTCTCCTCTCTAGCGGACTGTGGGACCATCGGCAGTAGATCCCCAACGTAAATGCTACGGCTGCAGCGACACTGATCGAGCTTGAATCCAGAGCGACCATCAACGGCTGGAAACGGCTGCCCGTCGCATTTGAACATCACATGAAGAAAGTGCATGGTGTCGTTGACATCGAACTCATCGACAGCCCCGGAACACATGTTTACACCAACACTGACTTGGCTGTTAGTTGCATCACTCTTTCTCTCTAGGTTTCCTTCCTCTCTTTCTCCTAGTCTCAACCACTACTGGGTCATTACCGATTTCATCTGGACATTTGAGTAACAGGTCAAACTGTATACGCAGTGGTTCTTCATTTTTACCGATCTTGGTAATCAAAGCCGAAGTGTCACTTGTTTCTATCACCCTATACGGTCCATCCCAGTCATAAGACAGCTTCGGATGCTTAGACTTTACTTTCTCCCGCGGCATTTTCATGGATACTCGGCTACCAAACGTAGGTAGGGTGTCCTGTATTCACACTGTTTTTCCTGTCGTAATAACTTTTCATCGCCGCTCGATACCTTTCGGTTTGTGCATTTACCTCTTCCCGTATCACTCTCATATCTCTATCTCTGAGAAGTTCAGACTTGTAGTCGTCCAGATCAACCTGGCTCAATTTCACTCTCGGCTCTGGTAACGAGTCGAGGGGAATCACTGGATCGACTCCATACAGTAAGAAAAATGGGCTTCCTCCCGTCGCAGAATGTGGTGTGACATTGTAAGCGTAAACCACGTGCGGGAGCATGGTGTCCCAATGATCTGGGCACTCGATTTTCTTTTTGAGCACCCTCTGTATAGTTCCGATTGCCCTTTCTGCAGCTCCATTTTCTCTGGAATTATATCCCTTCGTCCTAGTATGTACAATTCCAGATACATTGGCTAGTTCCTCCACAACTTCATTAATGAATTCTGTACCTTGATCTGTGTGGTTGCCTCGGCCACCGCCCCCCTTCACAGATCCACCTTTGGAAGATGAAGTGAGCGACCGTCTTCGCTGTTCTGTCTTTCATGGCGTAGGCTCCTAGCCATTTCGAGAAATGGTCCACCAAGACCAGAACGTATTTCATCCCGTTAGCATTTAGGCCCATTTCTAGAACATAGACGGCTCTGAGGCTTCATAAAGGCACTAAATGTCGTAGCTGAAAACTTGTACTGCAACATTCTGTTATCGAAATGCCAAATATGTTAATGAAAAATAACATAAACAAAGTAGCTGGTATAGGATTATAGTGGGCAATGAACATAGACCGTCAGACAAAGAAAAGAATAGTTGAAAGAATAACATGGT